ATGTTACGTTGGATTTGCGGGCATACAAGAAGGGATCGAGTTCGGAACGATGATATACGTGAGAGATTAGGGGTAGCGCCAATTGAAGAAAAGCTTGTCCAACACCGGTTGAGATGGTTTGGACATGTGCAACGGAGACCTTTAGATGCACCGGTGCGTAGTGGAATCCTAAGTCAGGATAGTAACGTGAAGAGAGGCAGAGGAAGACCGAAGTTGACTTGGGTAGAGGCAATAAAAGGAGACTTGAAAGGATGGAATATACCCAAAGACTTAGCCTTAGATAGGAATGCTTGGAAGACAGCTATTTACGTGCCTGAACCTTGATTGTTTCTGTTGGGTTTCAACTCTAGCCTATCCCAACTTGTTTGGGACTTAAAGGCTTTGTTGTTGTTGTCGTCGTCGTCTCACCTCCTAACCCAATACACCTTTCTTTTCTCAATCATCTTTATCTCTATATCTTTCCTTCTCATTTTCTGTTTACTATATTTTTTCACTTTTTTTTAATCATGTGCCCAAAGCTAAAACGACACTTAGGTGGTATTTGGATCACTAATCCAAGGACTAAAGTTTAGCCTAAACTTTAGTTTTGCTAGGCTGTTTGAATCTATGGACTAAACTTTAGTCCTCTAATCTACGATGACTGATTTACCATCATTTAATTATTCATGCATAGCCATACATGCGAGCGGCAAGGGGTATGAGACGTCCAGCGCCCATCCCGAAGGAGTTTAGCCTAGTTTATGGCCTCTTTAGGAGTAAAAGATTTTAGTCCAGTTTTTAGCTATTTACTCACTTTTAGCCCCATATTTGATCCCCGTGGCAAAAAAAAAAGGGCCTAAAAATACACGGCTAAAGTTTTATTATGGGATCTAGGATCTTATTATGGAACGGAGGGTTTACTGTAACGTTTGTGTTAAGGTTTTAGGCATAAGGACGAGATTTTTTTTATTTTTTAGCCTTTTTTTTAAAAAAAAATTCACAAATATGTCTTTGGAAGAAAGATTTTAAAATCTAGACTCTTAGCTCGACGTTATCGTTGTTGGCGCTGAGCTTACGCGTCGGCTTGACGCTGACGTGGCGGTAATTTGATGTGGTCACCGGCGCCAAGCCTCTTACGTTGGTGCAACTGTACGAGCAGAACGCTGCACTCACTGCCGTCTCCGATGGACTATTCAGCAGGAAAAACACGCACCGTCGCGTGGCGTGGCGTCGCGTCCACTGTTCACAGCGGGCATCGGTGTACGGAGCTGTCCCGTCGCGTCGGTCGGACAGCCCTGCGTTCCCGGCTTCCCCAGGAAAAGCAAAGCTCACGGGCTACGGTCTACGGAGCTGTCCCGTCGCACGACTGCTAACTTGCCATGCCATTTCGGCTCCCTCCTCGTCGACGTCGTGAACGAATATATACTGTACTAACAAAGCGGTTTTACGCCCTTGTTTAGTTCCAGGAATTTGGAATTTGGGGCTACTGTAACACCTTTGTTTTTATTTAGCAATTAGTGTCCAAACATGGATTAATTAGGCTCAAAACGTTCGTCTCGCAATTTCCCACCAAACTGTGCAATTAGTTTTTTTTTTGTCTATATTTAATGCTCCATGCATAAGCCGCAAACATTCGATGTGACAGATACTGTAGCATTTTTTAAGATTTTGAACTTCAACTAAACACGCGCTACAGCTCAATGCTCTTCGATTAATAAGCGCGTTAAGTAACACCGTCAGTCTGCCACAGATACTATTCGTTAAAGGGTTTTTTATAGTAAAACCTCCGTTTTTCAATGAGTCATTCCAGATTTGAATAGATTTATAAAAAATGGTATTAATGTTTATATCTTTAAATAGTCGGTCATAGAAAAATATATTCCATAACTAATTTGATGATACTTATTATGTGTCATAAATATTTACTCTATATACTTTCAAAAAAGAACGTAACTCTAGATTTGAGACTGGTCAAACTTTCTTAGGTCGGACCTATTTCGTAGAAAAAAGTACTCATACTTATGTCTCTGTATATATTTACTACGAAAATATATTTCATGATAAATCAATGATGCTTATTTAATACAAAAAATATTAATACTTTTTTATAAAGGAGAGTTAAAATTGTTTGACTTTTTATAAAGAGTATATAAGAGTTAAATTTTTTAGGGTATTTATTTTTTATATGTATATTTGATTAAAGTTAAAATTACATGACTCACCGAGAATCATAATAGTGCATATTTTTTTCTCGCCATGTATTTAGATTACACTGTGCTTTAGCTTTGTGTGTGTAAATGCCATGTATGTGCACACAAGCCGTGGTTTGCAGGCTACGACCCTGTTCTTTACGCCGAGAAGTATCGTTCACTAATTTGTTGTGAAAAAAAACACACTGTCAATGACCAATAAGTTCGGTCAAAGAGGGCCGGCTACCAGCTCGACTGCCCACGAGCGCTCCAAAGAGAGGTGAGGCCGTGAGTAGAGCGACGAACCGTCCAGCGACAAATTGGTGGTAATATATGCCGAGTTCTGCACGCTTTTTTTTCTTTTCGAACTGTCAGCACGCTCTTGAGGGGGCTTAATCAGCATTTCAATTGAGCATCATAGCAGAACAGCAGGAGTCTGAGCAGGCAGCAAAGATTTCATATAAGAACGCAGTAAAAGTGTAAAACAGCACCCCAAGTGCAGCATACGTTTACGAACAACGAGAACAGGATTCAAATTTTGAGGTCGAAATGCCATGCATCCAGACACGGGAGACGATACCACAAAACAAAACATGACGAGTACTACTCGATCGACCAGCGATCACTGGATAAGTACAACTTTCGCTGTGTTTTGTCGTAGGAAGTTGGAATTTGGGGCTATTGTAGCTAGTTTATTTTTATTTGGTAAATAGTATTTAAATATGGATTAATTAGGCTTAAAATGTTTGTCTCGTAATTTTTTACCAAACTGTGCAATTAATTTTTTTTCGTCTACATTTAATATTCCATACATGGACCATAAACCTTCGATGTGACAAGTACTGTAACATTTTTAGGATTTTGGTTTCAAACTAAACACGCGCTTTATTAGGCGGAGTACTGTAATGCAAATTAAAGAAAGAACAGAGAGACCAGAGAGTATGGCTCGGTTTTCGTCGTTGCAGGCTCGCAGCAATGCCACTGATGGCGCACCCACGACCCACGAGGGCAGGGCAGAGTGGCAGACGTCAGAGGCACGGCACGCAGAGGTATGGGCGCCCGCGACAGCGATGCCCACTGTGGACAGTAGTGGACGTGACGCTGTATGTTTTCCTGCTGAACAGTTCCATCGGAGACGGCAGTGAGTGCAGCGTTCTACTTGTATAGTTGCACCCACGTAAGAGGCTCAGCGCTGGTAACCACGGCGCCGGACTCTACGTCAAATTAGCCAGTTCGGCGTCACCAACGATAGCGCCGAGGCACGTAAGTTTAACGTCAGCAACGATGAAGTCGAGTTAAGAGTCTAAATTTTAAAATATTTCTTTCAAGAGTATATTTGTGAATTTTTTTTTTAAAAAAGCTAAAAAATAAAAAAACTCAGGCACAATAATTGGAGGCGAGTTTATCCGAGTCTTCAATAGCCCTCGCCCTACCAAGGCCTTGTTTAGATTGTAAATTTTTGTAATCCGGACACTATAGCATGTTTCGTTTGTATTTGACAAACTTTGTCCGATCATGGATTAACTAGACTCAAAAGATTCGTCTCGTGATTTACAACAAAACTGTGCAATTAGTTATTTTTTTACCTATATTTAATGCTTCATACATGCGTCCAAAAATTAATGTGATGAAGAGAAAGTGAAAAAACTTAGAATTTAGAGGTGATCTAAACAAGACCCAATAATCAGTCTGTTTGGTTAATCAGTCTACGTGGTTGAATGATTCATATTGTTACTGGTTCATAAAGAAATAATACTAAAAATGTACTACTCACTCGTTTGTGTAAAAAAAAAAACTATCGTTTCACCCCAGCCGAACCGGCCGAATGCAAGTACTAGATCGGCGTAATTGCGACGGCAATACGGATCGGTGTCATTGACTTGGGCGCAACACTTTCCTCTCCATGTCTCCTTTCGCTGCCCCATCTGGTTGGAGACGAAAGGGCACCATCTTGCGATCTTCTGGTCGCCCACTTCAGCTGTTCAGCAGCAAACTAAATCCAGGCTTATCAGGTATGTCTTCGTCAATCCGCCTTTGCGGTTTTGCCATCTCTAATAATGTATCTGGCATGCTCGTATTTGAATCCATGAATTGCCTTCACAATCTGCACAACCAGAGACACGCCGCACGCGCCACTGCCACTTTACTGGAACAAAGAAAAAGAAAAATTGAAGTGCTTCCTTCAATGTTGATCTTCAATTTTTCACACCTCTTGATTTTAGTGAGACCATTGCTCGATACTCGATAGCCCTCCTGTTAATTAATTTTGGTCTGCAGTTACACATCATTTATATGGTCGATGAACGATTATGGTGGATGCAAATCTGATTTATGCGAGGCTCTCTTCTTCTTCGATCCACGGTTGCTCCACCTTCTCTCCTTTTCTTCTTCTTCCTCCTTTTCTCTTCTCCCCCTGACCCCCTCCTCCTTTGCTTCTAATTAAGTGAGATCTTGAACAGCAGAGGGTGGAGTCCCCCTACCCACCCCTTATATATAATATATATGCGCCCCTACTTGTACCTACAACCACTCGCTATTTCACTAGTTCTTGGAGCTATAATTACGAAATCACCGTTGCCCAGAAAATGGATTTAGAACTTGGGAATGTTTGTTTTTAGGTAAAGAAGATGTCTCCACCACTTCAGTCAATTCGTTGAACAGATTGCCGGCCGGATTTGGTTGGGAATTTTCCATGTGCACCAACTAGAGCTACATCCTGCCAAACTTAGTACGACTTTGCTGCCTGTGTTGATCTTCATTTCCAGTTTGTATTATCCAGCATCTTAGTCAAAGCTAACTGATGTGTATATTTATGTTTGCTGCTATCTGAAAATGGATCTTCAGACAGACAAGGAGTCAATCCAGGGGGCTGACATATCAAAGTGGACAATGCATAGCAATCGTAACATAAAAAGCTTCACAGAAGGTGAGATCAGACGAATAACAGAGAACTACAAGACTATTATCGGGAGAGGTGCATTTGGAGAAGTTTACAAAGGAGTCCTCGATGACACGAGTATGGTAGCAGTGAAGAGGTTAATCCACAACGTGAAAGAAAACTTTGATAAAGAACTGGCCGTCCATCGTGAAATCAACCACAAGAACGTAGTCAAACTCATTGGTTATTGTGCTGGGGCAAATGCCCTAATGATGGTCACCGAGTATGTGCCTAACGGAAATCTGTCTGCCATTCTTCACCGTGATAACACTCCCATCCCGTTGGATATACGGCTTAGAATTGCAACACAGTGTGCAGAGGCATTGGCATGCATGCATTCTTACAAGCATACTCAAGTCATTCACGGGGACATCAAACCTGATAATATACTGCTAGATTATGACCTAAATGCAAAAGTATCAGACTTCGGAATATCAAGGCTGGTGAACACAGACATGACGCTGTACACAGGCAATGTAGTGGGCAGCATAGGTTACATAGACCCATTGTTTACTAAGGATGGACGTGTCACTGCCAAGAGTGATGTTTATAGTTTTGGAGTTGTCCTCTTGGAATTATTAACTAGGAAGAAGGCAACACCAACGGATGGACAAGTAAGTGTTGTTGCTGCATTTGCTGAAGCTCTTGAAAGTGGCCGGATCAGAGAGGCGAGAAAATTTCTTGATTCCGAATTAGATCCTTCGAGAAACAAGAATATTCTTGATGAGATAGGAAAGCTGGCAGCTGAGTGCCTGAAGATGAAAAGGGATAAACGTCCTGAGATGAAACATGTGGCAGAACGTCTTAGCAAATCAATGAAAGCTTCGCTTAAGGGAAAGTTGCGAAAGCACCTGTGCCGCCGCTTCTCATATGCAGAGATGGTGGCCGCAACAAGGAACTTTGATGAGTCGCATCTTCTTGGTCAGGGCGGTGTCGGTAGATTTTACCGTGGAGTGATAGATGGTGGAGCAACCATGGTGGCTGTAGAGTGTTCGTGGCATGGATACGAACACGATCAATATGGAGATTTGTTTCGTTCTTTTGTAGAAAGCAGGTCAAAGCTCAACCACATCAACATTGTGCCCCTTATTGGTTACTGCGATGAGAATGACGAGAGGATCCTGGTGTACACCTACATTGATCATGGAAGCCTACATGAGCATCTCTTCGAGACCCAGAACCCACTTACCTGGAAGCAGCGTCTGGAGATCTGTATCGGTGTAGCCCGTGGCCTGCACTATCTTCAAAGAGGTGCCAAGCACCAAGGCCCTATTTGGTTCGCTCCCGGGCGGAGCTGCCTGAACCTGCCAGGGCTCCAGGTGAGCTGCCTAACAGAATTCGAAGCAAACACACCCCAACTCATCAACCATAACCTGAGGGTGAATATTCTTTTGGATAAGGAGGAATTGGTGCCCAAAATTTCAGCTAACAAAATGGCTGATCCTGGCTTGGCTGAATTAGTGGGATGTAACACTGGCGGTGGTGATTGTGATTTCATTCCCAGTGATGTTGCCGACTGGTTAACTGAGAAATTGGGTGTCTATTCTTTTGGTGCCGTTTTGCTTGAGATCCTATGTGCTCGTCCACATTTTGACCTTAGAGATCCAGAGGAAACGGTAAATTTGCAAGTTTGGGCTCGGCGTTGCAAGAGGGATTTTAATCGGATTGACCCCTATCTAAAGGGGAAAATTAATCCACAGTGTTACAACAGGTTCCTCGAAATTGCTGACAAGTGTCTTGCTCATCGTTCTTTTGACCGTCCATCGATGCAAGACGTGGTTTTGGACCTGGAGTGTGCCCTTCAATTGCAGGTGAGTGCAGAGGTGAGCGGAAGCTAGTAGTCTCTAAGCACTGTCTACTTCGGGAAAACATCTGGATCGTTGGAAGTACTATGTACTATACCTGTGCTATTAATCAGTATGGACTCCCTTATCAGTCATGATACAGTATTTTTCTTTCACAATAAAACAGCATCAGTCGGTTTATAAGCCACAGAAATGATCAAGCGAACAGGCCAGCTCTCTTCTTTCTGGCAGAAACCATTGCTCTGTCGACAGGCAAAAAAAAAAAAAAAAAATCAGGTTCCATTATTATGTTACTTTGCTTCTCTGCTGTCATATGTACTGATCACTGTATCACTGCAAAACAGTTGTAATTCAGATTGATGTTTCTGCAATTCTGCATTCAATACTGACAGACAGTTTCAGGCCGTGTCTATACTGCAGTTGCTCTAGTGCTTCAGAGTTCAGATTATTAGTCGACAAAAAACATATAAAAACACATAATAAAATGCAGAGCAAACCCCTTCAATCAATAACTTTCTGACAGTAATAATTTGTACAACTTAGCAATTGGACACTAAGGCCTTGTTTATATGCCATCTAAATTCCAAGTTTTTTCACTTTCTCTTCATCACATCAATTTTTAGCCGCTTGCATGAAGTATTAAATGTAGGTAAAAAAATAACTAATTACACAGTTTAGTTGAAAATCACGAGATGAATCTTTTGAGCCTAGTTGGTCCACGATTAGACAATATTTGCCAAATAAGACGAAAATGGTACTATTTATCAGGTTAAAAAAATTTGCAAAGTAAACAAGACCTAAGGTAAAGTTTGTACAAATTAGCAGTTGGACACAAAGTAAACCTGCGGCCTTCAATCACGGCAAACCAGTTCTACTGCTTGATTGATGTTCTTCTGCTATGGTCAAATAACCAATACTGTCAGACTACTTAGTAGCAAAATTTGTTCAGATCGTAATAATCAAATGCAGAGCAGTCTCAAATCAAAAACTTTCTAACAGCAATTTGTACAAATTAGCAGTTGGACACTGCATGGCTGCAGTGCAAACTACACTAAGCATATACACACTAGAAAAGAACTGCAGAAAACTAGGCTAGGTCTACGATGGTTCCTGCGTGCGCGAGCACATCGGCGTTCATGAAGAAGCGATTCAGCATTGCCTGTAGCACGTCGGTGGTGAGCAGGCTGTCGGAGCCGGCGCAGTGCGCGCGCCCGGCAGCGCGCTCCACGCCGAGCGCGGCGGCCACCTGTTCCAGCCCCCCGCGAATGGCGCAGCACCTGGCGAGGTGCTTCACGTCGAGCACATTGGGACCGAACAGCTGACGGACCAAGGCGAGGAACCCGTCCAGCGTGCCCGGCAGCGGCTGGCCACCGGTGAGCACCTTGGCTAGGTATGCGAAGTCGTAGGAGCCCGAGAACGCGGTCCAGGTGAGCTGCCCGCAGGCGAGGCCGCTGCGGTGGAACCCGACGGCGAAGTCGTCTGGCGCGATGCCGAACTCGTTCATCGTGGCGAAGTCCATCCCCTGCGCGCGGAGCAAGGCGACGGAGGCCTGCGCGTACGGGTGGCGCGCGAGGTCGAAGCCCCGGAGGTTGAACTGCCACGCGACGGGGAATCGGCCGGCGGGGCCCGACAGCGCGATCCCGACCTGGAGCAGCTTGAGGTCGTCCACGTTCTTCTTCACCAGCGCGTAGCTCTCGCGCGGGCCGCGGAGGTACCGCGGCGTGTCCGAGTCGTGCACCGCGCCGGGGAACTCGGTGTCGACGCACACCCAGGGGTAGTGCGGCAGCACCGCCGAGAGGTTGGAGAGCTCGTCGTCGAAGTTGCCGGCCCACACGTCGCGCACCTCGGCGCGGACCTCCTTGGCGGCGGCCTCCAAGAACGCGCCGCGGCCGGGCGTGAACACCAGGGGCGACGGCTGCGGCGGGTACTCCACCATGGTGTACTGGGGGACGATGTGGACGAAGCTGCACAGCGGAGGTGGTGGCGGCGGCTGCTGAGGGTAGAGGAGGACCGGGCCGCCGTCGTGGGAGTACATCGCCGTGGCTTCAAAACCGCCGGTAACCGCGTGACCGCGTCTTGGCGAGTTTGCGTTTTTGATCTTGGAACGTGGGCGTTAACCGTGGCCGTGCCCTGGTTTTATGGTGGCGGCGCAAGATACGGGCGTGCCGACCTCGGATTGTCGAAGCGGACCAGACCTCATAGTAACAGTCCAATTCGACTCGAATTCTGAAACAGATCGCCATACTCCGTTGAACATTCGGAATCCCAATGTATACAATTGATTGATTTACGTACTACTCGTGACAGTCAGACTCCGGGTACGATCGATTAGACTGTATGAGTAACAACAATCGGACTCTTCTAGGGTTTCCACCCTGCAACGATCACCAATGAGGCAATGAGAATCAAAAGCATGCACGATTTGTAAACCTCAGTCCAGCTAGGATTGCATCAAATTATTGAGTAGGCATCAATCACCAATGCATCAGTCATCAAAATTACAAGAAATTTTATCTACAGAACAGGCGCCTTGTCATGTTTGCAACAAATTTCGTCTCAACTAGTTCATTCAATACACGTCTACCATGAGGAGTTCTACGCTATCTTTTGGTGTTCTCGTGGCACCCAAACCCAATGAAATATACAGATTAATAAATATCAACAGTCTTCCCATAAGATATGCAGGCATGAGCATCCCAAGAGCTCAATCTTCCAGGCTTACTCTGGTCCTCCTGGGCTTGTTATACAAGTTTCGCACACTGGCGCGAGACTGGTCGACTGATTCACGGCTTGAGAGCGAAAGAGAACTCATGTCATCATTTATTGTTCGGTTTATCAACGATATCTGCCTATGCTCCACCCGTGGTCTCCTTTCCCAAGATTCCACACCATCTTCACCGGAACTCATGCCGTTGCCATGCAACCTCTCGTGCACCGACCGACGTGGCCACTCCCTGGTATTGTCAACTTGAGATTGCACGCCAGGCGTACTAGACTGATCTCTCAATTCCCTTGACCTCCAAGCAGAATTCCTTTCCCTCTCAGCACTTGAGGCAGAGGCAGGGCGCTGGCCATGCAGGCTTTGCAGTGACAGCACTTCGACTGCAGGGGCTTGCGCATGCCCAGAAGGCTGTTCTCCAAGAATACCGCTTCCATATTTCCCAGCAGTTGTTCTTCCTTTAGACCTCTTGCCTCTGGATACTTTGCTCAGATTTGTTATTTCGTCAGGTAGCTTGCCCTTGCCTTCATCTGATGATATGCCAGTTTCTTGTACAAGAGGGGTAAGGTTAAGCAGTTCTGGGTCATCTTTAAAATCGAATGGCCGCTTTGCTGGGTCCATTTTTCTGAATGTAATGGATATCCTGTGTTTCAGAAAGTAGCGCATTAGATTTTTTAATACCAAATAGTTCAATGAATTTTGAAAAACAATACAACAGATGAGTGTAACCTTTTGGTAGGGACTGCTGGAACACAATGCTTTGCTACATCAGCACCATTGCCATTCAGAACAAGCACAGATCTGTGAATTTTCATATATAGTAAGAGAACCGTACAGTTGAACTGATGGCCTAATGATTTAGCAATATGAGTTTTGTGAACTGTACCACTGGAAAACAAGGATACTAGTACTGTGCAAATCATAAATTAAAGATATAAGCGATTCTGATCATTAAAATGAAAGCAAGATACACCAAAATGAACTGTTAAAAATAAATAAGGCATGCCACAATAAATCATAGTAAATAGACATTCAAAGCAAAAACTTTTTTTGTAAAAAAGTAAAAACAGGGCAAAGGAGACAATTTAAGCAAATCACTGTACGATGCAACAAGCAATTATCTACAGAATTCAAATGACCCACTAAACAGTCTTGATATTCATATATATTCACAACTTTGAAATGTCAAGAAACAAAACCATTTTCAAACTATCCATATAGTATATAACAATAAACAAGTGCAACGAGCATAAGAAATATATTAGCAGACAGAAAGAACATGACAGAATATGTACCCGACAGGGAGAGGGATCGCAATTGAACCGGTGAATTCTCCAGGGGCAGAAGCTTTCAGGTTAGATCCAAAAAGAATGTTGCACTCGCTGAGGAAAGAAACAGTGCAAAATGGCCTAACAAAATCATGGCTATCTATATGTGGAGGGATGCAATCTCCAGGTTCATATATATTTACAATGCAGCTGTCCGGTACACAAGTTGTAGGCAGAACTTGCCATCGTACCAATCTCTTAATCATAGTCTTAAAGAGGTCAGGCATTGGATCAGAAACAATGCTCCGTATGATGCCTGGTGGATTTCCATTCTTATCCTGCCATGATAGATTTTACCATTAGATTTACTGATGGGTGTTCAACAATAATTTTTTTATATGGGGTGTTCAACAATGCTTTTTTTATATATGGGGTGTTCAACAATGCTTTTTTTTATATGGGGTGTTCAACAATGCTGTTTTATATATGGGGTGTTCAACAATGCTTAAATGTACAAATATAGTTCATAAGATGGAATTTTCAAAGGAGGAAAGTACCGTAGCATAATTGTAACAGCATCCAAATTGGATTGTTACCCGGCCTTTACCACGCATCCATTTTTGGGGTTCTGTATATGTGCGCTCTGTCATGAGAGGAAAGCTCTATTTAGAAAAACAAAAATAGGAAGCTAAATACAGCAAATGAACAACAGCAAGTTACATGAATAACATATTAACATTCAAATCAAGAGAAGAAAACATTATGAATGTAATACTATATTATACAGTTCAAGATATATGAAGTATAACAGTACCTAAAATTACATCATAATTAAAATACAATTGATTTTTTTCTATTTCTGCTTTCTCTAAAATGTTAATTTAGTTAAAGAAAGAAATCATTTGACAAAATTTGACTAATTTAATTAAGACATCCACCCCGCAAGACCACAAAGGAGGAACTGAAATCAAAATAATATGATTCTGTAAAAAAATGAATTTGAATAAACCACCAGCTTGACTTGGTCACTGCGAAGCTTGTATGATTGACTTTCAATGCATATAGTCAAGTTGTGATTACCTATTATAGTGTCCATGGTGAATGTGTGGACTGGAGTCACAAAAGTCATCTTGATTCTATAGTATTATTATGCAGGCTAGCATTGTAGTAATAAAAGGCTACAGTTTGGCTCCACTGAACAAGCTACAATAAAATGTGGTACGAGCAATCAGCCCACAAAACAGGGCTAATGACAAGTGCATATTCCATTCTACATGTTGCATTTCTTTATGGTTTCAACAAAAGGAGATCTTTTCTGAAATGTGAAGAATCAGGTTCATTTAAGGATTTGTCTGAGCCAAAGTCGAGGACAGCCCACAATACTATTAGTATACTTGAAACGTGATAGAAAATTGATCAAGGACCGAAAGAAATACAGTATGATGTGCACGTTTGCCTGCTTGCAAATGCTGATGTGAAAAACTACCATTGATGTACAAGAACATAAAATAAGGAAACCAAAAAAATGTGTGGACAACACTAAATGATGCTGAGTTAGTAATGCAGGAATGCTAAGGCTTATGATTTATAGGAACAAGTAAATATCGGTGTAGCAGGCTCGTGTGAATGGTTTACGAGGTGCTCTGTAGGCGTTCAGGTCTGTCCCCAAAGGCCAACGCCACACGACACTACCAGGTCCTATTACGCCTTGTTGGACATGGTTCTTAAAGCGTTGAGGCAAGGCATGGTGAACCACCACCCTCTATTACCAGTGGGCAAGACAGATCGCCATAATTACAAATAAAGCAGAGACGGAAAATAAGCCATTCACTCAATGGGCTATAACCACAACAACAAATGAGCCCCCACTAGTAAATTAAAGCCCAACCCAAAGCCACCGCTCCACTCTGGCTTCCACTTCAGGTATACCATACTCCCAAGTCTGCTCTCCTTCTGTGCCGCCTCTCCAGTCCCCCGATACCACCACCCAGCAAGAGCAGTGATGAGCCCGCCACCCCCAAGTGCCTCCACGGGCCATGAATCGCCCCCTCCCCACTAGTCATATGGAGCCCTGCTGCCGCCCCCTTCCAGATCACCACTGCCATAGTTGAGCAGGGGCCGATCAGCACTGGCCATCATCCTGGAGCCAGGGGGCAGGGGTGTGCCAGCCATTGCGCCAGAGCCAACGAGGATGAAGGCAGCAGGAGACAGGGCCGTGCCGCCCACTGGTTTCCATCCTTCCTCATGGCCCCTCCTTTTCTCCTCCCCTCTTTTGGCTGGGCATCAGCAACTCCTTGACCCCAACAAGCGCCTTGTTGCCTAGGCGATGCCTTAAAGTCCATACTATCGTCTAGAGGTCACAAGACCCCCACAAAGCCTAAAACACCATGCTCATGTGTGTAATAAAACTAATGGGCATGTGGCATTCATCAATAATAAAAATGTTTTCCTATATTACTACCAACTATAGGTCTTTCGATAATAATCACACTAGAGGGGCTAGTTCTGGTACTACAGGGTTGACCTCATATGGTAACATTTAACTGTGGCACTTTGAATTTGATTGTCACGAGTCCTGAGCTAAAGTTGACTTTATCCAAACATTCATACAATGCCTAGTCATTATGAAAATACTGTGTATTCAACCCCAACTTCTGGACAGAGCACATCATGAGTCAAGACCATTAAAAATCAGTGAGTGAGACTCACCTCCGAGCTCCCCACGGTGCCCTCTCGCCTGGAGGTCATACACGCATTGGACAATTCGCCGCTGCTCAGCTGCGCTGAACACGCCGGCATGAAGCTCAAGGCCAGCGAGGATGTTGACGAGCTGGCCATGAACTCTCTCGTAGCACCTGAAATCCTTGTTGCGCACCACGCTACCGAGCCTCCTCTGTTCCCGCTGCTCCCTCGTGAGCCGCACCTTGGGCCTCCCCGCCTCGGCCCCCTCATCCCCATCGTCGGCAGCCGCGGCATCCTCCGCCGCCGCGGCGAGCTCGTCCTCCTGTGCCATGTCCGCCCACGACATCTTCGGCTTCTCCGCCGGCGCCGCCGGCGGCGGGGGTGGGGGCGGATCCGAATCCCAACCGCTCGGCTCGAAAGGAAGGTTCTGCGGGTGCGCCGGATCCGAGTCCCACCCCGACGGCTCAATCTGATCGACCGGCTGCGGCGGCGGCGGCGATTCCTCTGCTGCGCGGGTTGGTTGGATGCACGTCAGGGACAGGAAGTAACCAAGAAACCCTAGTAGCACAAGCGTACGGCCGCACAGACGGCGGCCGGCGAGACGGCGGTTACCTCGCGGGAGCAGGGAGTCGACGCGGCCGCGGAGCGAGGAGGCGCAGGAGGGGCAGAGGCCGGCGGAGAGGAAGGGGAGCCAGGTGGTGAGGAACTCCCCCGCGATGGCGAGCTCCTCGGGCGTGTACCCCTGCACGAGCGCCATCGGGTCGGCGGCGCCGGCGCCGCCGCCGCCTCCGGAGGAAGAGGATGAGGGCGCCATGGCCATCGTACCGCCCGCCGGAGAGTGAGAACTGCGGTCGGTAGTCTCTGACTCGTGGACCCTTCGCCCGCCGCCGCCTCGCTGGCTTCCGATTTGATTCGATTCGACGACGCCTTCGCCTTTCGGGGAAGGTTTTGGGTGCTCTTTCGATTTCCGGGAAGGAAATAGCTAGCGTTTTTTTGGGTGCTCTTTCGATTTCCGGGAAGGAAATAGCGCGTTTTTATTTGGCAAAGAAAGTGTTCAAATAGCGTTTTGCCACCAAACGCTGTGCAATTAGTTTTTCTTTACGGAGTAAAACAAGGGGCTCTGGCGTGTGGGAGCCAGCAATAAAATAAGCCGTCGCTCTCAGCATGGGACGGCCCCACAGAACGGACGCTTTGATGGAGTGACGAAAAGAGGAAACGGGCGTCGGGGCGTGGCGGGCTGACGCTTGGTCTGCTTGGTTCGTTGGCTGGACCCGTTTCGGGCTTCGAGGCCCTGGTAGAGAAGCTGTTTTTCTTCTTTGAAAACAAATCGTCCCGCACATCCGGACGGACGCACACGGTGCGTCCCGCTCGCTCAGAATCTGCGCTGTCTGGATGACTTGCCCTGCCCACGCCGCCCGCCAACACGCGGGGCCGTATGCGCCCCTCTGTTTCCCGCGAAGCTCGAACTGCTGTGGCAAGATAGTGGAAGGGAAGGGAGGGGAGGGAAGGGAGAGGAGAGGAGAGGAGAGGAGATGGTGAGGCGTGTCACGCTACGAAGGCGCGAGGTAGGAGCCGAAGCCTTACGGCAGGCCGTTGTGCGCCAGCTACCGGCGCCATTACAATATGTGCAACACCCGATCTATTTTTGAAATATTCGGATGAAACATTTTCAACATTTGTACGAAGACAGACGAAATACTTGAAACATGCGTATGAAACAGTTGCAAAAAACCTAATAACACTTGAAAAGTCATTGCAAGACATGCAACATCCAGATAAAACACTTGCAACATATGTGTGAAAACATATGCAACAACAAAATAAGCACACTTGCAATATACTTCCGAAAAAAACAGATGAAATATTTGGAACAGACGCTTGCAACATACGTGCATAGTCATTGCAACATATGCAACATCCCGATCTACTTTTGAAATATCCATAAGAAACACTTGCAACATACCAATGAAACATCTGAAACACTTGAAATATGCGCTTTCAACAAAACCTAGTCGGCTGGCGGACGGAGCACTGCACAACAGATCCGGCTATGCGGTTGTGGGGGAGGAGGATGGCAACGGACGGGCGGCGAGCAGCACTTGCAGTGGAGGCGGCAGCGGCGGTCGGGGCAGGTGCAACCTCATGCGGTGAGGCGGCAACGGCTGTGCGGGGCGCGGGGGAGCACGCCGTGGTGAGGTGACAGCGGCTATGCGGGCGCAGGGGAGCACGCCACGGCGTTGCGGCCGCGGCGACACGATCGCAATGCAGCACGCCGCAGCGGTGCAGGTGCGGCGGCGCGTTTTGCAGTGGATGGGTTCGAGAATGGGGACAGAAGAGCAGAGTGTATTGTTTTTTTGGGAACTCGAACTGACCAGTTGGGTGAGAAAGTGGGTTGTTCAAGCGGGCGTCGAGGCCCACCAAGGGAAGTGTGCGGGCGGATGGACGTATGTTCGTTTGGCTGTGGCTTGTCGTAAACGATCGTAAATTTTCAGCTGGAACAGTATTTTCCTCTCACACAAACCAGCCAGCAGTACTTCTTCACGAACCAGTCAACCGAACAAGTTGATGATTCCCGGCATTACCGTATTTGCAAACTAGATAGAAACCGCACCGAATGCCACGTCCTCCTTACGTAAAAAAAGTACGATTTTCGCTTTCATCAAAAAGTCAAATAATTTAATGTTTGATCAAAGTTATATAAAATTACTTATATTTATAATATATGGTAAGTATATACATGCTATTCTACACCTAGAGCGTAGAATATCACTACCGTATAACAGTTTGGTGTTGAATAATATTCTATAACAGTTTGGTGTAGAATAAGCATTACCGTATATACGTATCAGTGAATTAATTATGAAATATATTTTTATAGTAAACTTAGTTGGAGATATAAATATTAATACTATTCAGTAAGTCAAATTTAAACTAATTTGATTGATACTTATTTCATAATTGCATTTTTTCGGACTGAGGGAGTACCAAATATTGTGTGAAAATCGCATCAAGTCAAAGCACCGAACATCCGAAAAAAACCACAAAATTTTATCGTTGGAGGTCGGTTAAGCGTGATTTTTCAGTTTCGGTGTTTTTTTATAGTAAAAAACCCCTGGCAGCAGGAAGGAATGCACCACCCTCTTGCAGCACTCGGCGAGTCGGCGGTCTGGGGCACTGCCGCACTGGCTTCACGGCGGTGCAGACGCAGCGCAGATATTGGCCTGGGCCTAATTAGTACTGCTTCATAGCACCACTCTGGCCCAACTTGGCCCATACCTCTTCGATCCCTGATCTCTCAAGTATGGTAGCTTCGGCGGCGCTCCGCCGGCTCCGCTCCTCGCTGCGGCTCCGGCACGCCGCCGCCGCCTACGTACCTTACGGCAGCGTGGCTGCCGCGTCCGCTGCTGTGGGGCTCGATCGCGCGCATGACCCGAACCGCCTCATCGCCCCGACGCTGGTGTCATCGTGTGGGAGGCGCGCAAGCTGTTCGACGGGACGCCCGAGCGGGACGTGGTGTCCTGGACGGCGCTGGTGTCGGCGTACGCGCGGCGGGGGATGCTGCGCGACGCGCGGGCGCTGCTCGACCGCCCCGACGCGCGCCGGAACGTGGTCACCTGGACGGCGCTCCTCTCGGGCTACGCGCGCGCCCGCCTCGTCGACGAGGCCGAGGCGCTGTTCCAGCGGATGCCCCAGAGGAACGTCGTCTCCTGGAACACGATGCTGGAGGCGTACGCCGCGGCGGGCAGGGTGGGTGATGCCTGCGCGCTGTTCGACCGCATGCCGGTCAGGGATGCCGGCTCGTGGAACATTCTGCTGGCCACGCTGGTGCGATCGGGGAGCGTGGATAAGGCGCGCGAGCTGTTTGGGAGAATGCCGGAGAGGGATGTAATGGCTTGGACGACGATGGTTGATGGTGTTGCGCGGAGTGGTAAGGTTGACGAGGCTCGAGTGTTGTTTGATAGCATGCCGGAGAGGAGAGGAATGTAGTTTCTTGGAATGCCATGATCTCTGGGTACACAAGAAACCACAGGATTGATGAAGCATTGGATTTGTTCATGAAGATGCCTAAGAGGGATATTGCTTCTTGTAACATTATGGTTACTGGTTTTATACAAAACAAAGATTTGAAGAGGGCACGGGAGCTCTTTGATGAAATGCCAGAAAGGAATGTTGTCACTTGGACGACCATGATGAATGGTTACTTGAAAGGCAAGCAGAGTGAGCTGGCATTGGGGTTGTTTAGTGGTATGCTAATGGCAGGTATCAGACCAAACCAAGTGACATTTTTGGGTGCACTTGATGCATGCAGCGATCTTGCGGCACTCTGTGAAGGGAAGCAGGTGCATCAAATGATATGCAAAACAGCATTTCAGTTTGATTATTTTGTCGAGTCTGCCCTGATGAATGTATATGCGAAGTGTGGTGAAATTGGATTGGCAAGAAAGTTGTTTGATCTTTCAAGGGAGAAGGACTTGATCTCTTGGAATGGAATCATTGCGGCATATGCGCACCATGGTGTTGGCATAGAAGCAATCCGCTTGTATGAAAAGATGCAAGAAAATGGATATAGGCCTAATGATGTCACCTATGTGGTGTTGCTCTCAGCATGTAGCCACTCTGGGTTGGTTGACGAAGGGCTTAAGATCTTTGAATCCATGGTAAATGATATATCAATTGCAGTGCGTGACGAACATTATACTTGCTTTATTGATCTTTGTAGCCGAGCAGGACGGCTTGATGATGCTAAAAGATTAATTCACTATCTTAAGATTAAGCCTGCATCAGGTTCTGTCTGGAGTGCCCTTCTAGGTGGGTGTAATGCACATGGAAATGAGAGCATTGGCAATTTGGCAGCTAGAAATCTCTTACAAGCAGAACCTGATAACGCTGGAACCTATACTCTCCTACCCAATATCTATGCTTCAGCTGGTAAGTGGAAAGAAGCAGCAGAAATTAGGTCAGAGATGAATAATCGAGGACTGAAAAAACAACCTGGTTGTAGTTGGATAGAGGTGGCAAATAAGGTTCATGTGTTTGTAGCACGTGATAAGTCCCATAGTGAATCTGACTTGATCTGTGGTCTGCTGCAAAATATCCATCACATGATGAGGATTGTTGGAACTGTCCCCAATGACCTTGTGCATGTTGATGAGGAAGTAGTGTCTATTTAGTTACAAGCTGAAGTATTCCATTTCAACTGTATCGATTCAGTCAAACAAAGTAACCTTCAGCATTCAATCTAAGGGCAACCCTATGAAAACATCAGGGAGCAATTCCGCTTACATCCCTTTGAGGATACAAGTACAGTGCTTTGTGCTATTATGTTTCCTCTGTTTCCTGTTTGCACTTATATGAGCTGATTTTTTATGCTAGAAATTTGAACTGAAGCGCAAGCCATTCCTCCTGCAATTGATTGGCAATTTGCCAGAGGAGGATCTCTTGACATCAACACTAGCTGCAAAGCTGAATGCATATGCTGCTGAGCTCTGCCCTGCAAATATACAAAAGGGAATTAGCTCCAAGATTGATGAGACCTCAAAGAAAGGATGGCTCATCTTGAGGGAAATTTAGTTCATACTAGCTCCTGGACTCATCAATTGTTGCAATGTAGAAACAAGAGAGGTGCATGATTTTACAGGAAAAAAAAGGAATAGTTCAGTTTTCACCATTGCCATGATGGCCTCAGTTATCCTTTCTTCACTTTGCTCACAAAGATTATATAATTGTTCATAGCATAGCATCTTCATTGACATTGTAATTATTGAGGCTGTGGATTACCCCATATGTAACCCAATTTCATGGTTCAAGCTTAGTAGTTGTTTGTTGTAATTCTGGTGGTTCATTTGTGAAAATATAGGTATTTGACTCTTATTTGGCAGAGCTTGTGATGGTCATGTGCATGTGAATGTGTCCATGAAAATTTGGTTTTATTGATTGGGGTGTATCAGTTTGTCTCTAGATAGAAACAATAGTCGATATAATGATGTGACTGTGACTGCAGAAAAACAAGCGATTGGTATTATTCATTAACATTAAAAATTATGCATGCACTTTTCCTAAAAAGCTGATTACTGAAAAATCTCTCATCTTTGCTGACTTTGCTTGAACTAAGGACTAAGGTGACCATGAAAATTTGATTTCTATTGAAAAAACCTTTGCCAAACTACCTTAGTTCAAGCATTATGTAGACAAGTATGAATCCGTATGTCCTAGGGTAATCTAACATGGCATCACACCTTCCATTTTTTGCATGGTAATTATGAAGCCCATAACCTGCTTCTGAAACTATGTTATATATACATTTAAAAACGAGCAGTATATGGTTTTCTCTGACTTGTGGAAGATTTTTTTTAGAATACTCACGGGTTTGCCCCCATTTGGATGGCAGATCTAGCAGGAAGCAACATCAGTATAGGCGTATAGCTGCACGCGATTTTTTTTATTTTAACCCAAAACATAATACTCCCTCCATTTTAAATTATAAGACATTTTGGTCTTTTAATACATTGCTTTTATTATATATGTAGACATAGTGTATCTAAGTGTATAGTAAAAGCTATGTATTTAGAAAACCTAAAACATCTTATAATTTAGAATAGAGGGAGCAAATTCTAATAAAAGCACGTACCAAATTATTTTTTAAAAAAAAAAATTAGCTCTTTTCGTTATGTTAGAAGGCATGGCGTGACAAATAATATGGTCACACCACGTGTATTGGCAACTCAATGAACACGTTTAGACACGAAGTCATTTAGGTGCTAAATACTCAACCAAAGGTTTAGACAAGAAGGGTTAAAAGGAAATTCACTCAGGCATAAATACTTTCTCTGCTTCGTAATTTGAAGTTCAACTTGTTTGAGGAAATTTGTAACATTTCCATATGGACTTGGGTGAAAACAATTTTTTTCCAAAATTGTATGTTTTAGTGAGACATACAACTTTGTAGTTGAAAATGTTTGATTTAAAGTTGTTTAGGTGCTCAAATAGAACACCAAAGTTTTAACAAAGAAAGATTAAAAGGAATTAAACTTCCCATTGATCTAGTGTAGTGTAGGGACGGGAAAGAGGGATAGGGAAGAGAGCGAGGAGAGTGTGTTTGAAGCCTAAACAAACTACACACATGCGTATTTCACATGAAAAATGTGTTGCATGTGATGCCCAAGCCTGACTGTAAGAGTTGCTTGGGGGTAGTCTCTGGGTCACAACTGGCACGGATACTTGTATCCATGCCTTGTCGTCGTGGGCGAGGCTTAGGAGGCATCATATGAGTGATGGCTTCTACAGTTGTGTAAGAAATGATTATATTTGTGAATAAATTTTAAATGCTAAAAATGCTTACATGTGTTAACAGAGGGAATAATTCTATACATATTGGCTCAAGAATAACCATATATCACAAACAAAAACTATCAACCACTTGTGACAGATATAGTCATCTCATTGACACACTGCATGACACGGTAGTAGCAGTAGTGGATGCCTCTTCGTTTCCTACCCGTACATTGAAATATGCTGTGTGGTTCGGTTTAGATAGGATCTTAGTCTTGCTACTTAGCATTGCAACAACATCTAACATGGTTGGCCGATCAACTGCATTCTCTTGTACACAAAGCAATCCAAATGTTCATGCACCTCATTATTATTTCATCTGAATGATGCATGGATAACAATGAAGCATCAACAAGTTCCCTCCATCTTCCCTCTTCATATAGCTGCCATGTCTGTTTGGAATTTTATCATAACAATAATTAATTTAGATAGATACTAATCTAACAAAATAATTTTCCATGCATGTAAGCCATCGATAAACTTACATATCCAAGGATATTGATGAAATCTCCACAATCATGGATACCAGAATTCTTTTTTCCACTAATGATCTCAAGAATGAGAACACCAAAGCTGAACACATCGGATTTGATAGAGAAGAGGCCCTTGGAGGCGTACTCTGGAGCCATATAGCCACTAAAACGATAGGTAAAGGTCAAATTGTTTATATGGCTGATTTATATTATAATGTTCATATATAAATGGATCGATTTTTGTGATACTTACTATGTACCAACCACTCTCCTTGTAGTGCTTCCTTCATTGTTATTTGAGCTAAGTATTTTTGCTAGCCCAAAGTCTGAAATTTTAGGATTCATTTCACTGTCCCAGAGAATGTTGCTTAGTTTAAGATCTCGATGTATGACACGCAATCAGGAGTGCTTATGTAGGTACATAAGTCCTTCTGCTGTTCCTTCAATTATTGCTAGACGTTTGTTCCAATCCAGTAATGATTTTCTATCTTCATCTATATATTAGTTAAATGTTAGTATAACAGGAAACCCCTCGACAAACAATAAATTGGAAACAATATACTTAGAAATATATAGGGAGTGAACTATGCTCAGCTGCTAGAAACAACATACTGAGAAAGCTTTCATTCATTTTGAAACATTCATATGATAACTAAAATAGAAATATTTATAAAATTAATATATAAAACCTAAATTTAAAACTACAATACGTACCAAAGATAAAGAAGTCCAAGCTTTTGTTTGGTAAGTATTCATCCTGTGAGCAACATCCCAAGAGCCTAACCAAATTTGTGTGTTGGAGTTTTGCTATGAGTTGTACTTCATTTTTGAACTCTATAAAACCTTGTCCTGAATGTGATGCAAGTCTTTTAACTGCTATCTCAGCTCCCTCAGGAAACTGACCCTGTGAAGAGAAAATATTCAGAAGTTCTTCAATATTTTTTAGAATTATTGCTCCATCTATTCTAATAGGAGCTAACTGAAGTACAGTAGCAAAGCAGATTATATATGTGTGTATTGCGTATATTTACCTTATAGACTGGGCCAAACCCACCTTCCCCAAGTTTATGTAGGTACAGAAGTCCTTCAGAAAACCCACCATTCGGCTGGCAGAATTTTGGCTGAAACTGGCTGAAAAACACTGTTCTGGCTGAATTGTTGTGAGAGAAAAACACTGTTCCGGCTAAAAAAAGCCGAACAAGCCGAATATGGGGTTAGCGCTCTGTTCACGAACCGGCGTTCAACGTGACGAACTCATGTTGCCATCCGTTTATCTCCTTCTCTGGTTGCTCTCTGGTCGTGACGATTGGATTGCTAGGTCGCTGTTAGTATCGGCTTTAGGTTAGTGGAATTGGTTGAACCCCGGTCGTGTTGATCAACAACCTTTGCTTCGTTTTAAAATGCGTGCATGACATCAATTGTAGTCATTCGGCCTGAGTCCGCGGTCACCGTGCGTGCATGGCCGCCGCTGGCGCCGAGCCCAAGCCGTGGCGGGTGTGTTGCCACTGCCACATTTGGCATTTGCGGTCGGTGCCACGTGGCGCCCCCGGCCCCACGTGGCGTCGGTCTCGGCTTTGTGGCTGGCTCTCATTGTTGCTCGTGTGTGTGCGCTACACTTGAGTGGGTGGCCGTTGTGCTTTGCTGCAGGTCTGGGCGAAGTCCGCTGCGGCTGCCCTCACTTGGCCACCGTGGCGCCCGCTCCGCCCTCCAATTCACCTACCGCGTCGAGCCTCCGGGCATGCGCCACTGCTCGCCGCGTTTGGGTCGACTGGCCCCGGTCACAGTGGCGATGGTGATGCCTCTCTGCCTCGCCTTGCCCCGCTAGCCGACGCCGGTGAGCCCCGCTCGGGTCCTGCCACTACATTCCAAGCGTTTCGCACCAAGCCTCCATGTCTCGTCATCTGTGCGCACGTGCTTGTGCTGCCGCCATCGATCGGAGCTGCCCCATCTTAACCTGCTTAGGCTCGCTCATGTGCCCTCTCCACAACTGCACCGTGCGTGGGACCACCACTCCTTCTTCCCTCCTAGTGTCAGCGAGCTTCGCCACATAATTCCTTGCTCCAATGGGTAGCTTAGGAAGTTGGCTAGCCGTCTCTTTCCCCTTGAGCCCGACAGAGCACTACCGACCGGCAATTTGGCATTTTGCTCGCCACCGATCATCTGTGCCGCCGAGCCGGTAGGTCTGGGGTTAAGGCCCGTAGGGTTGATAGCAGTTCAATTGCTTGTAACCTCGAACTCATCTTGACTCCCTCTATCTGGTGCTCGCGCTATTTTGGCCAGGGTACTCGTCGGCGGTGTGGTGACGCATCGGTGTCCGCCTCGGAAGCATCGCCGCCGGGCTCGCATGCACGTGGTCACGTCATCTCGAC